GGATATTTTATGGTCTAGCGATCAGTCGGTAACTATGGGTCCTTTTTTACTCTTTTTGGAAAGAAATCAGGAGAAATAAGTACTAAATAAGGTTATTTAGACTTAAAATAAGCGATTGGAATGATGTTTTTTTAATTTTTCGAAAATTTAGAAAATAATAGGGATGGTGCCTAAATCGTCACTTAGGCCGTTTTCAAATCCAGGCCTTCAATTATACGGACCCCGCGTCGAAAAAAAAAACAAAAAAACGGCTCTTTTAAGGGCCACCGCATGACTGAAAAGTCCATGACCAATGCTATTATTTATTATTTATCAATAAAGAATTTAAAGTTCCCAGTAAAACTAATTAACTATGACATGGTAAATGCAAAGGGAAACCATAAAATGTTATATGTGTGGGGGCGAGATCACTTATATATGGAGGCGAGATCGCGGGGCGAGATCACTTCGTGGCGACATCACTGGTATTCTAGAATTGAGATCGGGCGATAATTATCCATCTTGTCGACTTTTCCCTTTTTAAAAAGTGGAATGRCCCGCRCGGAYTTCCAGTCACTGGGAACTTGAGCAGTACGAAGCGAGGTACAAACATTAAAGGGCATACTTGGTGCTGTGCTTTTTGTCTGTTTTGCAGTACATAAGCATATATTTGTACTGCCGCATTATTCTGTCTCCATCTCCCTCAGACATAGCATCAAGAAATTCAGGAAAAAAAGACCATCAGCAAATAGTGCTGAGTTGTAGAAGAACATGWCATCACTTGCAATATCTTTCTCTTCCAAATCTTTCTTTGGTTTCTCTAAAATTGGGACAGGAGGTTCAATCACATCTGGAGGTGTATCATGAGTCACTTCATGCTTTTTGTTGCTCTTCCCATCATATATAAAAGACTTGTTACAACCTGGAAATCTACAGGGAAAGCGACCATCAGGAGTCAGATGTTGGTTGTCTTGTATATCTTGTCACTCTTGTTCTGTTATGACATCATTGATTAGCTTGTTTATGTTGTTTTCAGCAAAAACATACTGGTCAACCACAATTCCTGCAGCTTCATGCAATATTGCAAGCTTTTGGATATTTGTTTTTCTTGCAATATCAGCTGGAATGTTGAACAAAGATGGTTGACTCTCCTTGGAATAAAGGCCCAGCACTTTCATTGCTGCTAAAATGATTCTGGATTGCAATATAAGCAGAAAGAAATCTTTATTGGCACGATAATTAGAATGGGTGTCATTCGTGACATTTCTTCGGTTTATGAGACTCCTATCCGAGTACATTGTACAGTGGTTGGCATCAGACTGAGCTGAGTAGAATCGATGATATATCAGCTAAAAATAAAAATACAAAATGATAAATTAATTCAATAATAATAAATAATACTAATAAATAGAGGACGTGAGTGATACAACAGCCATACATTTGAAGGCTCCTGTGACCAATAACAATATTTTTTTATTTGGTATATGTTATGACAAACAGCTCACATGTTATTAGTTTTAGCCTTGCCCAAATAGATTAATAAACAAACAAACAATATAAATGACGAAGTGACTCGGCAACAGTGAATGGCATGACTACCATTACAAGTCAAAAAATTTGTACAGGAAATACTCACATCCAGTATCTTTACACCAGCATGCCAATCAGCAATCTGCATGTTTATCCCTTTCAATCGGTCTTCAGCAGTATAGCCATTGCACACAGATGCTATGGTGTTGACTGCTCTTTCTACTGTAAGCTGGTCACTAGTAAAAATTTGGCTGTCATACTGCATATCACCAGTTTGGGGGAGATATGTATGGAATTGTTGTAAAATTGATATCATTTCTTCATTGACATTTTCATTCTTGAAGATGATGCCTAGTGGGGTCTAAAAAGAATGGATAGAAATTAGATGAAAATAAATAGATACATGAATGTACAATGTCAACCTTTTTGATTGAAAAGCAAAAATTGTTGTCATGAGTGTTTTAAATGCTTGGCTTCAAAATCATAAGGTAAATGCTGTGAAGATTCAGGGAAATATCCAAAAACTAATATTTAATTTCAACTTAGCATTATATAGCAGTGAGGTATATTTTGGACCATATCTAAGGACTAGCAAAACTGTATGGCAATGCTACACTTCAAATATATTGCAGTATGTGTTCATTATGACCTTGATACACTTCTTATAGTCTCAAGTACCTAGTTTATTTCTGATAAAGTTCCTCCTATTCCTGTTCTTTATATATTATCAGGTATAAAGGTTAATGCATGTGCACATATTCTTAAATATATTAAAGCTTTTTGTAACCAAGAGGAAACCACAAATGTGTTCACTCAGTGCTAGATGATTGAAGTATTTCTATTTCTTAAAAATTGTTGTTGTTGTTGCTAATTTACCTTTTTAGAAGGGGATGACATCTCTTTGGTGTATTTACAAATTCACAAGCCGCATTTTGTCAATACTTGTGCCCAGTCTCTCAAGCGTAACTACTTTATTGGGCTTCCTGTGTACAATTCTTCTCGCGCGCGCGTTCAGGGCGTTCAGAATCGTGCAAGTCAGGAGGGATTCCGACGATGGTAAGTTGTGCATTCCATTCCATCTCCTTGCTTCTGTAAGCTTTCTTTCATTGTTATCGTCAAAACTAACTAGTGATCGAATATTTCTGTTTCTTTTTCGTTTTCGATGACGATAGCATCTTTGATAGCATGCATGACTACAAGTAAGTTGTCGTCAAATTCAAAATTGTTATCTGAGTCTATTAAGTCGCAAAAAGATGAATAAGTGTTATCTAACCTTTAGCAGTTTAGTTGTGGATATTGCCCCGTCATTTTAGTGTTCATTAATATCAATATTTGCAATAGATACTCTGATTCAAGTGGTGCAGAGGGTGGTGTAATAGTACATGTGATATCTTCTGATGATGATGAAGAACTCGCAATCGAGGAGGTATGAACTATAATCGAGTCTTGTTTTGTCCTGCTCTATATATTCATTGATATTTGATGGGCAATTATGCAGCAACAAAACAAAGGTGGGACCTTTCTTGAATAGTGTGAACGTTTAATATGAACGTTTAGTAGCCCAACATAAAAAAAATCGTACATCAGAAGTTTTTTTAATGGTTTTTACTAAGAATATGTTGCTTAAAAGGTGTACAAAAGGTCATCAAAATTTTTACAATTTTTCTTTGGAAATTGATTTAAGAGTGGCTGTCCGTAAGAATCAAACAAATATCAAAATAAGTGGCAAACCTTGAAAAATCGATTTGTCTCATACTTTGATGTTTGGTAGGGTAATGTGTCCTAAGAATCCTGGTATACTTGGTTAAGCTAAATATCGTTTTATTTTTGAGATATATGAAAATTAGTAAATTAGTCGATTTCACGGCTGATTTTTGGTCCGAATAAAGTGGTCTAATTTGAAGGAAAACTCGTTTATACAACCAAAATAGCTCATAATCCTTGACAAACAATTTCTAAACTATGTAACGCGCTAAACATCGTTGAAATTGCATATTTGTGACCTTTCGGGTCAAAACACTACATGACAAAATTTCAGTTTATGAAAAGTTACATTTATACATTTAGTGTTACCTGAACTTGAAGTTTTATGGTTTTATAGCGCCACTTTCTTCGGTTGTTTACTCTTTCGTAGTGCTGTCATTTTTCACAGGAATCCCAACAACTTTCTGATGCCCTAGCTGCTACATATATATTGTCCTGTAATTCGAAGCGTAGCTTATTTTCCTATTTGTGTCTTTACATTTATTTATTGCAAAAAGTTACAAAAACTGAGAGACAAATATCTTTTTATGGAAACCCCTATAAAATAATATCATATCTTTGTAACAATTGAGTTTTGCTTTGACATAATTAATAAAAACAACAAACTCAATTTAAAAGTCGTCAGAAAAAAAACTCGCTTTCTGATCTATTGCTAAAAACAGCGAGGTGGCCTCGGTTGAAGTAGTTGCACTGTAATTTATAAATGTCTAAGCCATATCATTTTGTGTTAAACATAAGAATTATGTGCCTGGACATTACTTGTACCACTTGAGTGTCATTTGATAATCAATGACGTTATCTGTTTGTCAGGGACTATAGTGCAGACCTTCGAGTGTTTAACTTATTAACACCGGCTACATGTTTAATAAACAACACAAGTAGATTTATTTGGGGGATATACCGATTTTGTAAAAGGTATTGTAACAACACAACTGCCAAACAATCTCTCTGCTTAGCTGGAATCGCAATGTGCCCTGTAAATAGACGACTTTGGCAAAATCGTGGCAAGAATACGAACTGCCGGTTTTGCAGGCAACTGACGTTAAACCTYAACACAACACTACTTCATAGCTTCAACACAATTATAAAGAAGGTAAGTTGAAATTATAACACTATTTTTAGATAACTGACAAAATTACTAGCAATAAAGATGAAGGACAATATGCCATATAAGCAACAACTATTTAAAACAGAAGCTTTGAATTCACATTGCAAATCAATCTGCTAGTTAACATGCCTAGGTGTACTGAGATATGTTAAGTACATGTAAACAAGATAATGTTCTTCATCTTACTTCAGTGATTCGAACCAAAAAATTTCATTAAAGCACATGCAAACTCTGTGCGTAAAGCTGTAAAATGTCTCCCTCAAAGCCAAACCTAGCTGTAAAGTGAAAGAACAAAGAAACTATAATTGGATACAAACAGAACGTACATCTCCTGTAAAGTCGTGCCAAGCACTACTTTACTCACCACAAAAAAGGTGTTTATTCACAGCCAAGAGACAAAGACACCGAATCAAACTTAAAGATTTCACATGGACAAATGATGGCAAGATTGTCATCAACAACATCAGATTCGCCGATCAACCAAGCATCTCGGAGTATTCATTCCCATATACTGAAATTGAAGAAGAAACAAAAAAACTTTCGGCTACATCACCAATCATCAACATATCTAATTGCTCAAAGGAGTGGGACACTATAACAGTCGAAGGAAAGATACCCAAAATTGAAGAASCAAAGCTTGCTGGGTCCAAGAAGCTGAAATTAGAAAGTTGTCCCTGGAAAAGTCTTAATCATGAGTTATGAGGACAATAACTTGTCTGTGAGAATGGGTGACAAAATCCTCTGAGTTAATAACAAACATCCACACTCTTGATGAAGTCTTGCAGATGAACTTACTTGCTGAAAGAATCCAGCTTGGTGTGTGACTTTTTAAGCGATTTTGTTTCTGCAGTTGATTCAATTAACTTGGACCTTCGCTGAAAGAGAATCACTTAAAAGACCATCTAAAGGCAAATCCTTGGAGCTGCCCAGTAATTTTGGGATGTTTTGGCAATTGAGGAACACAAACAACTTGAAATTTTAGCAGAATTCCGAGAAAGCTGTAGACCTTCTATAAATTTCTATTTCAGAATTGAGGGAACTGTTGCCGTCAGCGCGTCCATTTTTTCCCAGAATTCATTGCGAGAATCCGGTTAAAACACGTGTTCTGAGTCAGCGTCCAAAGAGAAAGTTGAAAAATTTGAAAAATAAAACACTTAAATGACAGAAGTAGGACTGAATTTTGGTAGAAACAGTAATTTGTTCGTTGAAATCTAGAACTTTGTAGTAACTAGACGCTTGTAAAGAGTGATGCGGGCTAGCTTAGCAAAGGATTTTCATTACAAGATAAAATTTGTATCTCCAATGAATATTGTGACTATGACGTAACTATATATGAAAGTAAAATATGGCGTATAATGCCGTAGTTTTGTTTGGAGTTCAATTCTAATCGTGCACCGCAATATTCTTTTCTGGCCACTAATCGTTAACCTTCACTGTCTGCTATAATCTTATCATACATCAACTATCAACCATAATCTTTTTGCTATAGTGAATTTCCAAGGTATTTTGCAAGGTATTTTGTAATATTTATGGAAACTCTTTACTTTTTGGTTAGCGATATCACATTTAYTATTATYAACATAGCAATCCATTTTAGATGCCATGGGTGCATTCAAAAGAAATCTAAAAATTGAAGCAAAACAAGGTTCAATTTCAAAACTTGTACTTTGTCATTAAAAAAAACGATGATATTGAAGCAATTTATTTGAATCTGAACAACAAAAACATTGTCATTTAAACAAAATACCTTTTGTTGTCTAATGTGGAAGAAAGCCAGTATTTGAGCTGATTTCATGTTGAAACTGTACTGAATTTCATCGAGCTGGACAGGTGAGGAAGGTGAGACTACTTTCGATGTAAAATCGTCTTAAAATGATAACTAGCAAGCTTGAAACTTCACAAATACAAAATAACGTCCTCGAATAACAGCAAGCAGTGCCGTGGAAATTACCACATTGAGTTTAAATTTTAAGGGAACTTTTACCAAATATCAAGTAAAAATTACTCATACTTCCGAAAACGATTGGCCAGCTGATTGTCAAGTGTAGGTTTGACGACAGTTCGTATCTTGTCTATCTCACTGAGGTCATGATGAATTGAACCAGGAATTGAACTCATGTGCAAACTGCTACCAAGCCCAAAATCATACACTGTAGACATTGCAGGCTAACATTAATCAACATCCTCAAATGGCTACGGACTACTTATATGGATTACACATTATAGCCTTATCTTTTGGAAAATTCTCGCAATTGAACTACGAAGGATGGCTGTAATTTTTACCAAATCGAGTAAAAATTACTTGTACTGATACGATGGTTGGAATGTAACCATGGACAGCTAACTTTACAAGGCTGATTGTACAAAATATTTTATTTATCTTACTTTAGTCAATATGGATGTGCGTGTACACATACTTCAAAGCGATAATTTTGCATAAAGTTTACAAAACTGTCGTACCTATTTGTTCAACTTATACTTTAAGGTCTTTGATACAGCTTTCACACACACAAACGTTTATTGCGAGTGAAGTAAAAAAATCAAATTATCAGTGAAATTGAATATTTTGCGAGTGTTGATTTTGGATTTCCAGTCGTTGCTCGTTTTACGGGAATGTTGTAACGACCATTTTGTCTCAAAACTACACAATATCAATTTATTTCAACGCAAAGCATCATTTTAAGAGACGTTGTCTGAGAAAACCGGGCAGGTCCAAAAGATGAGGGTCGGCCGATTTACCTTATATTAAGTGAAAAGGATTTTGATCATAGTTTAATATCGGCAAATATGGCGTACGGCATGAGAAGAAAAATTACACTTTAGCTTGATTAAAATGAAGTTAAACTTAGTTCATTCAGCATTCAATAGTGGATTTATGGCTTCAGACAAATTACTTATGATCATATTTATATGTAATATGAACACATAACGAATCAACTCAACATTCGTTAAGATGCGTAACGCATTGACTGGTAGCGAATTGACTTCGGAACGGATTGACCAGTATTCTTCTAAAGCAGATTTT